AGACAGGTTTGCGTTACCAAAAACTGAAATTAAAGTTAGGGTAATTGAAATGTATTCATGTAATTGATAATAATGGACATTTTAGGTAAAGAATTGGAAGAAATTTTGCACAATTATATTTAAGAAACTGTTTTTGATGCTACTGCTTTCAGTTTTATTTTCTTGCTTCTCTTTTCTTGAGAGTTTGGTCGAATTGCAAACTCCTTACATTTTTAAGCCTCATAAATGACGGACTTCCCGTTGAACATCTAGGAGATGCGGTATCCATATTTATTCAAGACGGCTGTAACGAAAGCAAGAGTAGAAAAACGTTGTTTTTTACGATATTTGCTGGTGGTTTTTTGCATCCACCGGTTAAATGGATATTTGTTTTATCAACTTTTCTGCGCGCAGCAGAAAGCAAAATATTTATGTGGTCGCTATTACATACCAGCAAAAACTAGCAACAAAAACTTGTCTCCTACATACCTATTGAAGTAGGTTGCAATAGTTCTGTAAAACCGTTTTCGGGAACTGTACCACAACTTTTTTATTAAAAACTATTTTTCAAGATAACTACTAAGTTTCCGGTCTGAGCTCGCATGTAATACGCAAACAAAACTTCAGAAGCTCTAAGCAATGAACAGTCTGTCAAATTTGTGCTGTATCAGTCCCTCCTAAGTTTTTTTTTTTGAGGTGCCTTTCAGCAATATGTCGGTAGTAGATCTTCGCATCCGCACTGGAATCGACGGCTTCTTCATACATTTGAAGCCGTGCCACTCCCGCTTTTCCTCGTGCAGAGGTGTGTTTCAATTGTGATAATCCCTTGAGCATCTACTACCAAGTGAATCTTTATTTTATTTATGTAGTAGTCGTGTTAAGCGAGCTGAACAGTTCAATTACATCCTGGAGCTCGACAAAGCTATCAACTAATGGATTATTTTTTAAAGCTCCGTTTTATTTTCAGCCTTGACTTTTGGAAGTTCTATTAGACATTTGTTTAATAAGATACGCCGATAAGCACTGATTCATTAATGCCATAATCTGCGTTTCTTTCAGGGTGAGAGCAACCGAGGACAATACAGCTAAGGGAACATAATTTCTCCCTTATTTATTTTTTTAGACGTTAAATCGTAAAACAAGTTACAAGAACTTTTATAGTGTATGTCTGAAGAAATACTTATCTCATTTATACAATACTTATCTCATCATCTCATTTAATCGGCGCGTTTAGAAAGTTCCCAGGATACTTCCTGCTGATTCGAATTGCTATCAGCAAGAATTTTTCTTAACAATATATCCCTTGCAATCCTGTTGAAAAAATTCGCAAAAAAGTATTTCTCAGCTCAATTCCACTCTTAACACGCTGTACAACTCAAGTGGCAAAGTGAAATTTTTAATTAACAACTTAATTGAAATAAAAAAACCGACAGAAAACGACCACTACTTGTCTTGCAAGTTTTCGTCAGACACTGCAGCCATTTAACCGCCTTGAAAGGAAGTAAGGAAATAATTATTATCATACATTTTGACCAAATGGTCATCGTTTCACTGAAACCAATTCAGTAGCATATCTCAACCGCGCTCCTATGTATCAATTACCCTATGTTACGAACACACTTTTTAACTTCAAACACTGACTGGCGACTAAGTGTGAGCTTGAATTACCTGCTCCAAAACCTTGTTTTTAAAATGACTTAAAATTTATTTTTATTAACCCAGAAGCGCGATCGAGTATCTTATAACTTTTTGAAGCTTGGCTATAAAAAAGTGCGAAAGGGACATACATGCAGAAATTATGAAAAGTCTGTTTCTAGAAGTCGTTGTTTTAAAATGTCAACTAGCTCCAGAAAACACAGGAAATCAACTGACTACTATCCACCGAAAGAATCGGCTTACAATTCTTTTTCCTTTTACAGTGGTCTCTTGGAAAAACTTCCTGTCTTTTTTTTTGTTCCCGCCAGATAAATGTTTTGATTCCACTTTCTATAATTAGGCCTACAAAGTCAGCTTTTCAAAATACTATTATTTTTTTTTAAACTTTGGAATAATACATGGAAAACCCTTCCAGCTGAAGCCGTCCAGGTTCAGCCTGACTCCAAACAAAGCATTTTTGCCTTCTTTCGTTGCAGAATCTCTTTCCATTCCTTTACTCCTTCATTGAAGGATGTATGATGAGTTGTAAAGCAACACAGCCTACCAGTGTTTTCGTATTTTCTCGTTTGCGAGCTTTATCTCTACAGTACTAAAACCCATTAGCTGTTACAGTTTCCAGAGTCCTGCAACAAAATTCAACCAAAATTATTTGATATCAAAGACTGGAACTATACTCTTACGTATGAAAATTGCATCTTAACATGAATCTCAAAATTTTATCATTTTCAACCTTTCCTCAACTTTATCCTTTGTTCCTCTTACTTAAACTTAACTGTTGATAGTTCGCACCTTAATGGATAAACTGAGTTTAGCTGTCCAAAGTAGTTTTTTTCGCAATAAATCAGTAATTTTTTACTAAGGTAAGTTTTTTTTTAACCTATAGCACTTAGATCATGATGAGAATTAACCGTTTTAATAAGGAGATTTCTCTACAGGCTATTATTATAAACTCGCTAAAGAAACCAAGCCACAAACCAACAGATAAAGAAATTCCCAAACAACAACTTCTTCACGATAAAAATAGCAGCAAAAAAGCGGTACAGAAAACCTAAATGATGTTCAAAAAAATTAAAGAATTTCTTCAGAAATATAGCATTTAAAAGTACAAAATTTTTGATAACAGTCTTATTATAATGCAAAGTATACGTATCGACGTAACAGCGAACACTCGACAAATTTCCAAAGACCCATTGTTCAAAAGACGCCGATTGGCCTGCCACTCATCCTAACTACTTTATAGCTTTTTACGAGAGGATTGACGTAAGTTTAGTTCAAAAAGACTTTTTTTCTGCCTTATTACCATTCTAGACAACAGTCTCAAGCAGCAGTTTCCATTTTAAATTGCACAAGGCGAAATCGAATCCTCTTTCTTGAACCCCCTTATGCTTAAAAGCCAAGAATATAGTTATTCAAAGCAACGTATTCATCCAACAGTAACAGATCTATTTTTTCTGTCCAGATAAACGGCCTGTCAAGAATTTTAAACCAAAGAATTTTTTTTAGCAGCTTTTAAAAAAGTTCTGAAATGAAAGAGCTCAAAAGTCTCAAGATCAATTTTCCCACAAGTTACTCTAGCACACTGTGATGATTATAGGAGCAAATAAAAAAATTGGCATTAAAACATCCTGTCAACTGTTCCTTTTTTCTCAGCTCTACAATTTTTTACTTAAAACATATCTTATTGGCAAAACTGAAAAGAAAAAGCGTGACTTGAAGTCAGATTAAAGCGCAAAATTTGAGCATATGAAAATAGTAGCAGAATTACTGTATATTAAAATAGTTTATTAAACAATTAACAAATGACAAAAAGAAAAACAGCCGGGTATCCAGCCAACGTCAGTATTAACGGCGAAGCAGTTTTTTGGTGAATAACTAAACAATCAGTAAAATTCATCGATGTTCGTGGATGTTTTGTCGACTAAAAGTTGCTTGCTGGTTAGAAGTTTTTCAGCCGTTTCAGATTTACTGTTGATTTACAAACGAAGACTACTATACGGCAACTGCTTGAGGCGATAAAGCGATCAATATCGTTGAAAGTACTGTGCGGGCAAACAGACGAGGTATGTGAGGATGGCGCAGAATGTTTGTTGTTACGGAGTTGGATGTGGGAAGGATGCTTTGGCTGGCCTGTGTTCTGCTGGAGTAAGCTTTTTTTTTGTTCTTTTACTTCTTTTTTATTTGTTCTTCCATTAAGTCTAACAATCAACTTCTATAGTTTCAGTTTATTGAACATTTGAAAAATTTCTATTAATCGATATTATTTTTATTGATGTTGTTATTGCTTTTGTTATTGCGATGGTGGTGGTAGGGAGTTTTGCGAGATTTTTGTGTTGTTGCGTTGTGCTCTATGAAGGGGGTCGAGATTTTCTGACAAGTCGACCGTGGTCGAGCCCTCTGGGTTTAGTGGGTCATATGCTATTTGCTCGGCTTAAATCATTTGCTGCAGTTATATAGATAATGCCCACCTTTTAGCATTATTTTACATTCTCGTTTATCCATCGCTTATTTCAGTCTTTATTTTTTTTTTGTGCATTTATTTTTTTTCTCGTACTTTCCTGTTCCTCACCTAAACCAATGAAGAATAAAGTTTCTTTGTCTTTTTACTTTTAAAAATCACAATGTTTTAGTTTTCGCTTCCGTTGTTAATGTTTATTGGTGTAAGTAACAGTGTCTGAGAATTTCCAATTTTTCTTCTCAACGCAGAAAAACTGGAAAAAAGATTTTTTTTTATTTTTTTGTAGAAAAGGTGTTTCTATTTATGGAGGGTTCTATTCGCTTAGACTTTAAGGGTTTTACAGGTGTGATGATGATAAAGGAAGTTCATTAAAGATTTTCTGCAAAATTTTTCTTCCAATCTGCAAAGAGGTTTTTGTACTTGTAGTTTTTTCATTTTTGAAAAAGAGCTGAAAAGACTTTTTCAAATTGGATGTTTTTGATGCGGTAAGGGTTTTGCATCCTTAGCCTCGCGCTTATTTTTGTTTTCTTAAATGAGCAGTTGAGCGTAGGATGTACAGGTTTTGGTGTTTAACTGAATGTTTCTTTCGCAAAGTTCTGCTGGCTAGTTAAATGACAAAATGGTTGGCTTTGAACGGGCTTCTTGTCATCGACCTGGATCGTCATGATTTTTGTTTATTTTTTACAGACTTTAATTTAGAGTTATTTAAATGAAGAAATTCTAACATTTTTTTGAGGCTGCGGTCAAGCGGCTAGCATTTTATATCACTTCTTTTTTCCGTTGTAGGAAATTTTGTATTTGTAAGTTACGACTGAGATGAAAGAAGGATGACAGTGATATAAGTATGACTATTTTATCTGCAAAATTTTTCTTCATTAATTTCAATTTTATGAACTACGGAAGAAGTCAGGTGTCATGACAATAAGGGTACTCATGCAGTTGAAAAATTACTTTTATACTGCTCAAAAAGTTATTTAACGTGCAAGTTGGCTATTTCTAATTATGTGTAAATTCACTGAAAATTTGTATTCTGATGATGATAAAATTTCTTTGAATTTTTGAAATTATCTTGAAGAAAGGTTGTTCGTCATTTGTTTCTTCGAGAAAGATTTACTCTGGTTAAAAGTTTTTAGCTCAAGGCCGGTCTATGAATCATAACGAAAAGGATGACTTCTTTAATGCAGCAACAAATGCACACCGAAATTATCCGAAGGATCCAGCACCATCAACCAACACACCCAACAATCAGCAGGTACCTGTTTTATGAGAAATCGGCTTTTTTTTTTGAAAAAGGCTTGCTGAAGAGTATTGTGCTGTTTCTGTTTTTGTAGGATGGAAATAAAGAGGGAAAAACAAACGTGGTAAACGAGCAACGAGTAAGGCCTCGCAGAAGAAATAAGATTAAGGTTAGGTTCATGGATTATTCTATCATTTCTGTTTTTTTTTTCTTTATCACAGTGAGAATTCCAGAATTTCATAATTAGAGCATTACGATGTTAAAAGTTTCATAAGCAAAAGTTAGGATTTTCAAGATATCTCTGTAACTGGTTTAAAACATTTGGGCCGTTCTGAATTTTATACAGTAAACTTTGTAACCATTCGTGCTTCAATTGTAAATTTCGAATTTTTTTTCCAAGTATCATTTAAACTGATTTATTAAGAGATGTCAATAGAAATAAAATTACTGAATTTATCTCACTTTAATGTCTGCATCTCCACAAACGTTCTTCAATTTAATCGTTTACGACTTTTATGGCTCTCCAGAAAAAGGGTCTGTTTGGTAGAACCACCAGTTAGCAGTAATTTAAATTGAGTTTATGGTGGCTTAATGCTGTTAACTTTTTCGAACATTGAAAAGACAATATGGTTTATTTAAAACATTGATTTAGTTTCTAAATGATAATGAAAACATCTAACTTTTGAAAAAAAAACTTGATGTTTTTACCAGAACATTGTTTGAATATAGTGTTTGGTCTTAAAACTTGATGGTTTTGGTTTTTATTTGTTTAATTGCACAAAGAAGTATTGTGTTCGCTTAAAGAAAAAAATTAACAACGCTAACAACATCAGTAAACAAAATGTTTACTATTAAAACATTTAGACTGTTCTAAAATGTTTTTCAAAAGCTACAGTTTCCAAACTCATCCAATTTTCATTTGGTGTGGTCTTATAATGTTTGTCAACACATCTTTTCTGCCGAACCACTTTTCATAATTTGCTACGGAAGCAAAAGAATCTTGAATTAAATATTTTAACTTATCAACCATATTGTCTGATCACCAGGACATTAAGGAGTTAAGTTGTTTTGGAAGGGATATCAATTCCTTTTGGAAAATTTTGTTGAAACTTTTTATTTACTTGAAACATATAAATCACTGCCTTATCTTCTGAACAGTCACATTGCTTGACTTTCTGACAGTCCTGCTCCACCAAGCCTAAATGCTTTTTTCATTGGTTTTTGCTGGGAAGATATTTAACTTTGGGTCACAATGATTAAAAAATCTTTAAGTGGAGGAATATTTGATACCCGTTTGCAGACCAAACCTCAGGAAGCAGCTCCACCTCCGCCGCCACCTGAAAAAACTGGTGGACGTACTATCTGGAGAAATATTATTTGGCAGTTAATATTATTTGTTTATTCGGGTATTGGAGGAGTTGCATTTAGTGCTATTGAAGGTAATTTTTGCTAAGCGTCTCACAGTTGAAAAATTGTTAAAGCATTTGTGTGGTTATGCAGTTCTTACAATTCTTTACCATTCAGTTTTAACCAATTGATAAATTTTTCTTTTTCAAACAAAGCTTTTTCTCTTTTTAATATTAAGTTTTACTGTTTTGCTTTTAGTCTCAAACGTTTTCAGCAGCGGTAAATTTACTAAAATTTATTGCTTATTACTTTGCTCAGTTCATCATTATTAGTTTTTGAGCTTTGATGAAATATAAATCCATTGTTATTTTACGTTTACTATGCTGTTACCACAAAAAGCCCTCTCTAAAATCTTCCCTGCTAGGCTTATCAAACCGTGCAAAAGCGTGAGCTGTTCGTTTACAAGTGGCAGGATGGAAAGTTCTTAAAGAGTTGTTTGCAGAAGGACACAGTTCTGTAGAAGGAAGGGGATCGTTTCAAGGGGCATTTATTGCTTTGGTTCTTGATATGTTTTAGGTTTCTTGTGCTTAGAAAACCAGTTGCTTGAATCCTTTCTAGGTGAACATGACGAAGCCGTGTTACTCAATAAGTACCATGACGAAGTAAAGCGTTTCGAGGCGCGAAAAATCTACCAGATTGACTTGTACAAGTAAACTTTTTCACATGATAGATTGGTGTTTCGTAGTTTTGCAAAAAAATGACTAACTCTGTGGTGTAGTGGCAGATGAACTTCAGCTCATTTTGTAAGATATCTGACACTGTGCAATCAGTTATTACAACGTTTTGAATATTATAAATGGTTTAATTAGAGCTGTAATAAGTCGGGGCTTGATACCTTTAAAAATAATTTGAAAGTTGTTCAAAAGACATAAGAATGAGTTTGTATAAAGGGTTTATCGTAACTCACTGATAATTTCAAAAGACAAATAATATTAGTATTATGAATTTTTGCGGAATTTTGCAAAGCATTCAGCCAACTGTTTGACGAAGAACTGATTTGTGTTTTTTTCTTATTTTGGGAAATTAGTATATGACTCCCATGGTTTCTTCTACTTTATTTTTCATTTTGAAAACCTTTTTCCATCACTTACTGGTATTTAACAATAGACTGATGAGGGAATTAGTCGCACCTGTTGAGGAAAATTTTTTTTCAAAGAAACTTTCTTTCATCGTTTCTCAGTTTAAGAAGAAATTCTTCAGAATTAAAAACAATAACAAAAAGCTTTTTTGTA